TCAGTAATTCTTCAAGCATAAATCAAAAATGTTTGGTAGTGGTCAGTCCTGCTCGTGAAATACGCCATACATTTGACATCACTCTGAATCGTAGTGAAATTCGAATGACACGTGACCTCAGAATGGCCTGGGGAGTCACATGATGAACAAGTCGTTGTTTTGTGCTGCCATAACTTTGAGACTAGCTACAAGGTGGAACACATCTGGTCTATCTGGGATTCTGCCTTTGTACCATACGCCTCTACCACCATTTACCGTTGCCCCGTCTTCTACCATAGCGCATAGTACTTGAAACATTGCAGAAATTACACTACAACCTTTATATTGGCGATTTATCCAAGAGACTAATCAATAAGACTGCTGTTTTGAACAATACTACCTTTACATTGGCGATTTACCCTAAGAGACTAATCAATAAACTGCTGTTTTGAACAATACTACTGATAACAGACCGAACAGTAGCACTTTATTTGTCCTTGTTCAATAGATTTGTACTAACGCTTCAAGTTCACCTCATTCCTCCACAAGTTGCTTTTACAAACGCTTGGAAGAGCACTGTAGCCGTAATGTAAGCTATTACTTCAGCTTCAAAACGGAGTCCATTGTAATTCTGCTAGCCGTTTTGGTCAATGCCTTGGCAAATGTGTATGAAGTGCCTCTCAGGAAAATCGAGTCAAAACAAAAGAGATTAGTCGGACAAGGACTATGGCCTAGCCATATAAAGGATAACGGTATAAATCCAGTCCCCGGAGTTTCTCACGAGGTTAGCCAGGTAGGTATTTATTTGGATGCGATATGAATTTCTAAGATGCCGACAGTGCAATAGACAGTCTATATAAACCACTTTTCTTTTTGAGACAGTGGATTATGATGGCGTCGCATACGTAGCTGAAGTCACTATTGGCACACCAGAACAGAAATTTAGGGTGAGTTTCAAGGTCAAAACACCTTTTATACAGAGGACTGGTACCAGTTAGTTGCTTGAAAAGTTCTGAACAAAATGGTAACAGAGCCCTCGGTCCTAACCTGGACTCTAAACTTCAATAGCGTACATATAGTTACAAAGAAGACATTTTCAATCGAAGTTGAAGAAGTTTGATACTTCACACCTTTACCTGCAGGATAAGAGTTTCGATCAATCCGTTGGTGAGACCGAGTTCGGGAAGCTGTGAACTCAACAAAGATTGCTTTATCCTCACGTTGGGTTTTGAAGAGATTATCCTAAGAGAGGATAT